AGAATATTTTTTAAAGTAAAAAAAAATTCTTACTTGTAGTTGCAAAACACATAAAATGTACCAACTTAGCGATTTCTAAGTGTATGGTGCATTAGTGCTAAGTACTGTGAAAATGTTGGTTTATTTTATTATAGGAGAGTGTAAGTTATAAATGCCAAAGCTCTCATGACCGTGTCACTCCTGAGGGGACCCAATAGTTTGTTCACTTCTTGCACATACTGGACATTATCCTTCAATATTCATTGAAGTGCTGTCCTGCACTGACCTGCCTTTTTCTGCCCTCACACAGCACTATGTATCATGCTCATTTTTTTCTTGGGGCATAAGTGTATTAGTGCCTACTTACTTTGTGTGTTTTCAAGACCTTTAAATATATATAAAGACCCAGAAAAGAGGAATTGAGTGTTACAATCATTTTTACTTTCTTAGCGTGATCATTTGTACATAAACACTCAAAAATTAGTTAGAAAATTAGTGCATTTGGAAATAGCATATATTCTTGACACACTTACGATCTCTTTAGTGAGGATAAAGAAAAGTCCTATTTTTAAATTTAAGCTATCGGGCCCAGGTAATTAAGTAGACTATAAGAAAAATAAATGATTTAAGAACGTATTTTAAGTCCATCACTTCAGGTAGAGATAGGAGCAAACTAGTCTTCTATCTAGGAGAACTCTACACAACTTTTTGTTCATTTCTCCCACCTCTTTTAGGTCAACAATGTCAGGTTCTGAATTCCAATTTTAAAAGCCACATGAATAATAATACTGAAGTAGATATTTTCTTTTCCCATTGAATGCAAAATTAAGACACTGAGAATAATGAAAACTCTTAATATTAAAAACTCAGACTGAAAGAACCTGTTATTTCTGCGGCCAGTTGGGGACTGCAAGATTGATGGGTCTGGATCGGAAAATATAATTTTGTGCAGTTTCTACTTCTGAGTAAATTTGCTGGACTGAAATTAGTCAGGAAGAGGCTTTGAACATTCCTGTCTGGTCCTGGCTTAGAGAGTCAGAGAGTTGCAATGAACCAAAATAGTAGCCACCCCTCTGCACTCCAGGCACCGATTCTGTAAGGCAATTAGATTTTATTTTTTACCCGTCACTATTTTTATCGCTATATTTATTGACGATCACAATTCTTACTAAAAAGAAAGGCAAGTGTGGGAGAGTGGAAGAACTGCTTGTGTCAGCTTGAGAGTCATAAGAAGTGGTATGCTGTTAAATGTTAACAACCAGCTCTTTTGGGGAAAAAAGAAGTACAGAGTAAAATATTACAAATTTAATTGTTATAAATGTGTCACACACAAATGAAAAATAATTATAAAATATATAATACTCTCTATTGCAGATTTCATATAGCCAATTGATTTTTACAGAATGTTTTCATTGTTTTTTGTTAAACTCTTGTATCCATCGCCAATTTATGGTTGCAATTCATTCATAACTTGCCAGATTCAGAATATGAATAAATGCTTGTTTACTATCTGACTCAGTAAAGAAATTGCTCATGTCATCAATGAATGTGTGTAGTTCCAGTAGGAATGTTGGCTTGATATTTTCATTTATTTTAATGAGTTTGACAAAGTGAAACAATAAAGATGTATGTTAGAATTTCACCCATTCGTCAAATATTTTTCCAGTATTTGCAGACTATTACCCAATTCTTGCCAAATCAGATAATACTCCGCAAATACTGGAAAAATATTTCTCGAGTATTGGCTACTGTTGATTAGAGTGTGGTGTTGATAACACCAAGGTCAAGGGTTTGGATCCCCATACAGGCCAGCTGCAAAAAAAAAGTCACAACTACAGACACAANACAAAATCAACACAGAAAAATCAGTAGCATTTCTATTCTCCAATAGTGAACATGCAGAAAAGAAATCAAGAAAGCTAGCTCATTTACAATAGCCACCAAAATAAATAAATAAATAAATAAATAAAATAAAATACTTAGGAATTGAGTTAACCAAGGATGTGGAAAATCTCTATAATGAGAACTACAAACTACTGCTGAGAGAAACTAAAGAGGACACAAGAAGATGGAAAGATATCCCATCCTCTTGAATTGGAAGCATCAACATTGTGAAAGTGTCCATACTACCCAAAGTGATATACAAATTCAATGAAATCCCAATCAAAATTCCAATGACATTTTTCTCAGAAATGGAAAAAAAACTATCCAGACATTTATACGGAATAACAAAAGACCACACATAGCCAAAGCAATTCTGAGCAAAAAAATAAAAATAAAAATAAAAATAAAGCTGGAGGCATAACACTACCTGACTTTAAACTATACTTCAAAGCAGTAATAACCAAAACAGCATGGTACTGGCATAAAAACAGACACACTGATCAATGAAATAGAATAGAGAATCCGGAAATCAACCCACACACCTACAGCTATCTGATCTTTGACAAAGGCATCAAGCCTATACACTGGGAAAGAGACTGTCTCTTCAGCAAATGGTGCTGGGATAACTGGATATCCATATGCGGGAGAATGAAACTAGACCCATACCTAATAATAATAAAGCTGGAGGCATAACACTACCTGACTTTAAACTATACTTCAAAGCAGTAATAACCAAAACAGCATGGTACTGGCATAAAAACAGACACACTGATCAATGAAATAGAATAGAGAATCCGGAAATCAACCCACACACCTACAGCTATCTGATCTTTGACAAAGGCATCAAGCCTATACACTGGGAAAGAGACTGTCTCTTCAGCAAATGGTGCTGGGATAACTGGATATCCATATGCAGGAGAATGAAACTAGACCCATACCTCTCACCATATACCAAAATCAACTCAAAATGGATTAAAGAATTGTATATACACCCTGAAACAATAGAAGTTCTTAAAGAAAAAATAGGAGAAACACTCCAGGAAGTAGTACTGGGCAGAGACTTCATGAATGCAACCCCCAAAGCAAGAGCAACCAAACGAAAAATGAACGAATGGAATTATATCAAACTAAAAAGCTTCTGCACAGCAAAAGAAACAATTAACAGAGTTAAAAGACAACCAACAGAGTGGGAGAAAATATTTGCAAAATATACCTCTGACAAAGGATTAATATCCAGAATATACAACGAACTGAAACAACTTTATAACAAAAAAACCAAATTATCCAATTAAAAAATGGGCAAAGGAGCTAAATAGGCATTTCAAAAAGGAAGATATATGAATGGCCAACAGACACATGAAAAAATGCTCAACATCACTCAGCAGTCGGGAAATGCAAATCAAAACCATCTCACCCCAGTTAGAATGGCTAATATCCAAAAAAACTGTGAGTGATAAATGCTGGTGAGGTTGCGGATGAAAAAAACCTCTCATACACTGTTGGTTGGACTGCAAAATGGTGCAGCCTCTATGGAAAATGTTATGGAGGTTCCTCAGACAATTGCAGATAGATCTACCATATGACCAGCTATCCCACTGCTGGGAATATATCCAAAGGAATGGAAATCATCAAGTCGAAGGTATACCTGTTCCCCAATGTTCATTGCAGCACTATTTACAATAGCTAAGAGTTGGAACCAGCCCAAGTGTCCATCATCAGATGAGTGGGTAAGGAAAATGTGGTATATCTACACAATGGAATAGTACTCAGCTATAAAAAAGAATGAAATACTGCCATTTTCAGGAACATGGATGGACCTAGAGAGAATTATATTAAGTGAAACGAGTCAGGCACAGAAAGAGAAACATCACATATTCTCACTTATTTGTGGGAGCTAAAAATAAATGAATAAATACACAAATAAACTGGGGGAAGGGAGGAAGAGGACACAACAATAACAATTCCTTGAAGTTGATATGACAAGCAAACAGATATGAGGTTGTTGGAGGGGAGGGGGAGAGAGGAGGGAGTGAGGTTTCGGTAATGGGCCACAATAATCAACCACATTGTATGTTGATAAAATAAAATAATAATTAATAATAATAATAATAATATATTAATTAGAACTTAAAAAATTCAGTTCTTCAGTTGGACTAGCCACATTACAAGTGCTCCATAGCCTCTTATCATTTGTGGCTACCATACTGGACAACAAAGTTATAATCAGTTTAGTTTGATATGAATAAATTGAATAGTCAGTACAGTTAAGACAAATGAGTTTGGCTGTAACATTTTAATTCCTTGTTACATATGGGTAGCAAATAAATGAGAGGAAAATCTCTACCATTGGAATATTTAATCACTGGGTAAAACACCAGGATAATGCTCAATGACACTTGTTAAACAGCTTTTATAGCCCTTATTTTAAGGGACACACACTGAACATGTGGCCTGGTGAAAAGAAACAGGTCAATAGATAGGCATCTGTCTTTATACTTTCCTAACATTGGCAATCATGGTGAATAACCTCAACATTATAGGAATGGAATAAAAATCACATGTATTCTTAGATTCGGTGGAACTAAACACACAGTAAAATTGCCAAGCAAACATTATCTATTTTGAACAACTGAAAGGTTATTTAAATTAAGACAAAAGTTAAAGTATTAGAGGATACTTAAACACTTAAAGTAACAAGAAAACAATGTTTAATGAAAATAAAATCCTTACAACAGCAAAATGTAGAATTTCGTCTTCATTCAACTCATTCTTCAATTTTCTGAATAAAGTTTGCATTGCTTTGCAAGGTCCACACCAGGCTTGGTAAACATCAATCACTAGAAGATGATAATACTTATGAAAGAGCGAGTCAAGCAATCTAGAATAGCAGCTTATCCCAATGCTGGGGCAGGGGCCAGGGCAAAGACGTGGCAGGCTTTCACGGTCAAAATGGGGAGTGGCCCCTTGCGAAGGGTGCCATGAGGTGCCCTGGGCCAAACCCCAGGTAGCCAGACAACGGGGTCTCCCCAGTACCTGTTAAGCCTTTGTTCTGCAACATCTCATCCCACAGGCTTTGGCTGTTGATGACAGTCTGCAAAAAGGGAGGCACTGTCAAAGGTCTCCAACTAGCAATGCACTGAATGAAGAATTACTGACATGTCACACCCACCTGCAACTGGACTTCTCGCTTTTTGCTCGCCATTTACCTACTATCACATGAAAGAGGAAAACAATGCACAATGTTTAGAAGGAAATTTAAATAATGTTTTCTTTATGCACTCAACCAGCATGTTAATGTGCTGTAGCACTTTTCCTCCACCAAATATTGGACGATGCAGTCTCACTTTTCTGGAGAGGCACCCAAGGACCACTGCTGGCTGGGCTCTGTGCTACACACCTGCAGCTGCCACGCTGCCTGTTGTCTGCTGTACGGCCAAGGCGGATGTGCAAGGTCAGATGTGAGGAGGGACAGTGTGACAGTTTTGCTCACTGCCTGAGGTGGTATGGAGGGTGTCCTGCATTTCCATGTGCACTCCCTGTGAACAAGCCCATGGCTTTTTCTCAGGCTTCCCCTCAGATCCGCCCACTCCAGGGATATGTACAGGTTAGAACAAGGTCACTGGTGTGTTCTGGAGCAGAACCTGAACTTCCTACAGGTGTTAAATCAGTGGGGCCAAAACGGCCGATTCAGAGGCATCAGGGACAGTTTAAAGAGTGGGTCTGACTGTGAGTGGGCCATAAACACCAGGTAAAACAAGGGAGTGACCAAAACAAGACCATATCCCAGCAAAGGAGCCGGATGCTCCGACAAGCCTTACGTGACATGGGTCTCCTCTTAGCTAGAGCGGGACCTGCCGAGAAGAGCAGGTGGCCGGGCCCCCGCCCG